ACCCTAATAAGAACATAGTCCAGTGCAAACATTTCTGTCATGCATTTGGCAAAAAGCTTTTGTTGACTATGAATTTTACCTTTGAAATTTGAAGCAAGTGCAACTCTGGCGTTCCCGTTGTTTGTGAGCAGTGGTGTGATGGCGATTTAAATAAAATACAGATTTCCAAACATATGGGTATCCCCTTAAACTTGGTAAAAAGATAATCTGTTTACCATCTTAACTGGAAAATACTGTTTTCATGGTCAGTTTTTCATTTTTTATTTGCTAATGTCAGTGAATGTTTACATTAGAGTGTAGTAGACACGTTCTACTATGCTGAAATTAATACGGGGAGCGGCTGGAAACTAGGGACCTCTCCTGGTTGGAGATAGTATTAACATCATAAACTGAAAGCAATCTCTTTGGATGTGATTAATGAAATCAGGTGGCAAAAATTAGTCAGAATGGGGGGGTGGAATATTGCCAAAAATGATATCTCATTGTTTTATTGGATTTTGTCAATAACGTTAATTAGACAATATTTCGCTGAGTGTGTTTTTTTTTTTGCTGGTACCTGGGCTGGTTTAGACCTGTCATGAACAGCTGATACCTTCATATTTGCCCCATTAAATGGATTTCCAGGCGCCTTTTTTACCTTAAAGGGGTCATCGGATGCCCATTTTCCCCAAGTTGATATGATTCTTTAGGGTTTTAATGAAAAGTCTATAACATACTTCGGTTAAAATTTCTCAATGGTAGTGTAAAAAAAACAAAATTTTCATAAAATTAAATAAAAAATAAAAACAAAGATTCATAAAAGAACCTTATACTCACTTCTTCTGTAGGTGAGGCTGGATCTCGAATGATTCGCGCGAACATAAACACATTTAGATAGATAGGAGGATGCATTCCCTTCAGAAACAAATGTAATCCACTGCGTCTTCAGCAGCTCAGATGTCGGGAGTAAATGGCGACTGCTATGTTCATTATTACATCCAACAACAGAACACCTCAATCGCTTAGGAGCCATTCTTCTCTACATCTGCTCCGGCGTCAAAACAATGGCGGATTGATGACAGCTCACTCGTAAAACGCTAGTGTCAATCAACAATCGTGGGAGGGGCCTGGGTCTGTGTGACGTCACACAGACAGGCATCTGAGAATAGCTTGATATGAGAAAGGGGAAATGATTTAACGAGATTAAAAAAAAAAACACTGGGTGGATCTTTATCATTATAGGGTGGCTGTGTACACACACTGCTAACACACATCACATTCCGATAACCCTTTTAAAGGGCAATATTTCTATGCATATTAGATATGCATCATCTTTTATGTTAAATGATTACTTTTAATCAATAAATTCACTTAGAATAACAAGACACTATAGGTGTGTTACCAATCAAACTAAATCAGTATCAGTATTGGCAAAATAGAGCAAAAACAGACAAAATTGACAATATTATATCTGAAATGTTTGTTGTATTCTGCTGATATTCAGGAAAACCAGCATTCATGCATGCACGATATTGCTTAACTATATCACATAGTATAAATATAAAGGACAAAACTTTTTTTTTTGTGAACTCTCAGGGAGTACACAAAATTACTGTAGTTGATTCAAATTTGCACATCCCTTGTCAGAAATTTAACGTTACAGGTATGATCTGCATTCTTAGTGTTGCCACAAGGGCTGCTATAGAGAGCACAGTATTGCATAATCTGTCTTTTTAGGGTCAGTTTTCTCTATCAGGACAACTAGAACTAATGTAATGTTGAAGCAAATGTGTGAAAAAATCTTTCAGAGCAAGTTAAATTAGTAAAATTGTTGACATGTTTAGAGATTTTGTTTTTGTTAGTGATGTGGTTGTTTTGTACAGAAGCTGTTTCTGCCACCACATAAAAAAAAAAGGTAATTGCAACTTTTTTATCTCACAATTTGGGACAAAAAAAGTCAGAACTGCGAAAAATATACACAGAATTGCGAGATATAAACGATATCTCGCAATTATGACTTTTTTCTCTGAATTTTGAGTTAACATCTCGCAATTCTGTTTTTGGTTTCTGCCACAGAACAAAAAAAAAGGTAATTGCAACTTTTATCTCACAATTTTTTCCCTCAAGAATTTGCAATTAAAAAAAGTGTAAAGAAAAAAAAATAAAATTGTTAGATATAAACTGAAAGAATTGCAACAGTCTGACCTATGGACCTTATTGACTTTAATTGCATAAACAAAAATATTCTTTAAAATATCCTTTTTTTTTCCGTAAAATTGGAATGAGTGTGAGTATTTGATGAATTTTTGTGGTTGGATGAACTATCACTTTTAAATATAGGCTATAAAATGGGTCTTCGTACTTGCAATATTTTCATGTATGTTTGTGTACTTACAGACTATGTTTTTAGCCTTAGAGCATCTCTGTGTGTATCTAACATATTGCAATCACAAGACTGTTTAGTAGAAACATAACTGGATGTCAGAGGCATAGGTCAATATTAGGACACGACTTGCTAAAGGGACAGGGCACCAGAAGCAAAACATGTTTACTGTTAAGGTGGAATGTTTTAAATATTTTAAATTGTCCTTGTAGAATTAGTCTGAGTATTTGTTCATAGAGGACAACAACATTTCTGCTGCAAATTGTCAGGTGTAAATCTGAAGCATCTGAAGTGCAGAGTTCATCAAGGCCCGGTATTACCTGTGTGACATAGAAAGCATGAAAGAGACACACATTTTTGTTTGTGTCTTGTGACAGACGTTACGCTGAACGCCTGCTTTATTTCCTTTGGCTAGGCCAGTAGGAAATGTTTCAGAGATTACCAGCACTCTGCTGATGAGTGTAAACATGGGGCAGATGGTGAGTGACTGCAGCTCCGGTAAGAGGAGCCTGCGAGGGGGAAACTTGGCTGGATCGTGAACGTTACTGAACTGAGCTCAGGCTAGACTGAGAGTGTGAAAACACTCACATAGGAGTAAAGTATACATTTACTCATGAGGAAATAACAGACACTATCTTGTTTATATACAGGATTCTGTTTCTGCATCATTTTTGTTTTATTTGCCACTAGAAAGATTCTTAATTTTTTTCTTATTCTTTCTGTTGACTGATTTTAAAGTCGCTATGAAATCACAATATGGAAGAAAAATCTTTGGTATTGTGAAATACATCCAGGTAAATGCTTTTCATAGATTGTGTTGATTCATTCCAGAGTTATTAACATTATAAATCTAATATATATATTTTTTATTATATACATTTATAAGACTGTACTTTGTGTTATATTACTTTAGCATTACATTTTACTGCTTAACGTTGCTGTGCCTAGTGTTTCTATCACCACGGCTGCAGGACTGACAGATTTGACTTCCCTTTTTTGGAAGTCAAAAACGCTATAGTGGATTTTATCTTTTGCAATTGGATCAAATGGAACCTCAAAAATTATGTTTGTTGTAATTTCCAAATAAGTTCAAATATGATGACGTCTGCTTCTGAGAACCCCGGAAATGTGAAAAGGTCATTGGTTTATTGAAAAAGAAAAAATTGTAGGGTGCGACTTAGTTTTGTCCATCGGTTGTTGATTGGATGGAGGCAAATCTGAACATGCAAGAGGGAGGGGTTAAACAGACGAAATGACTGGAGAAGTCTGGCATACATAACCAGAGAGAAGTTATGACATTTTGATTAAACATTACAAGGTCAAAAAAGTAAAAAAAATGACTGTATCGTTCATTTAGAAAATATGGTGAATTTTAATTTCATGCCAACTTTAAACTCATATTAATGAGATTAAACATTTAAATCTCTTGCTTCTCAGGTTTTTCTTTGTAGAAAAGGTTTCAGAAGAGATAATAATGTCTCAACCTTCAAGTTGTGTTCAGTTTTCCAAGAATACAAAATTCTTCAGTCAAAAGAGATTTCAAACTAGAGGTCAACAGATTATCGGCGCCGATATTAAGCATTTTTATGGTTATCGTATCGGTCATTTTCAAAACCGATTTGCCAATAAAATAATTTAAAAGCATTTAAAGAAAGTTTTCGTCAGAGCTCTTGTTATTCTCAATTTTGACATTCATTTTCATTTTTATAGCAGACATATATATCAGTTCAAAATATCAGTTATCGGTCTACTTGATCTGTAATAATCCGTATCGGTATCTGCCCTGAAAAACACATATCGGTCGACACCTATTTCAAACTCCAACATTTCACATCAAATTGTTACAAGACCGACTTGGACACAAAGATATTTTAAAAATCAGTGAGGCCAATGACTTCTTTTGTGTTCCACAGAAGAAAGATGGTCATACAGGGTTGAAACAACAAGAGAGTAAGTAAATGATGACCGTTTTCATTGTTGGGTGAACTATCACTTTAAATTACACATACAGTGGGTACGGAAAGTATTCAGACCCCCCTTAAATTTTTCACTCTTTGTTATATTGCAGCCATTTGCTAAAATCATTTAAGTTAATTTTTTTTCCTCATTAATGTACACACAGCACCCCATATTGACAGAAAAACACAGAATCGTTGACATTTTTGCAGAGGGGGTCTGAATACTTTCCGTACCCACTGTAATTCTCCTGAGGTACAAAAGAAAAGCATTTGAGCAATTCAACTGTAACCAAAAGTCATCAATGTGATGCCAAATGCTCATTTTCCACAAAACTTCTAGTTATTCTTAAATGCAGACCATTTACGGTTCACTTTCAGTGTGTGGAAGGACATGACGTGAAACATGTGACGTGAAAGGCAGCCCAAGGACTTTTTCCACTCTTAACTTTCATTAGTGGCTCTCCACTTCCTGCACATGGCTCTTGTTCCACTCTCACATCCCCATAGCAAATAAATCAGAATGATAATCTCTCACAGAAGCATCTGAAATGAGAACTACAGGACGTTCTCGTCAGTAATAGTTCTGATTGTTCTATTGAAAGTGAAGAGTCATACCAATGAGAAGAGTGAAACATGAAACCACACAACGGAATCAATGGCAGGAGCCAGTTTTACATGGATAGAGGCATCCGTCAGCATTCCCATTCATCTCAACACCAGCTGCTGACGTATGGCACCTGCATACTGACAATTTTTGGCACAAGTCATACATTAAATGCCATGTGACTGAATACTCTGGAGCCTCAGGACAGTGACATCATGACAAGCTGATGGCACCACAAGAACACCGACATTAGCAACTACGCTTTCCTCAAAAAAAAAAAAACAAAAAAAAAAGGCATTTGGTGCCATGCTGGCATGAAACTTGTTTCAATTGCAGCAGGACCATCATATGATAGGTTTATTTTTTCCAGTGATACAGACACAAAAAGGTGCCATCTCCTAAAGATAAAACTACTATTTGCATATGCTGACACATCAAATTAGTACATGTACCCTTTTTATCAAAGGATGCTTTTTGACTGTACTAAGCATAGAAATACTAGGGATGGGCATTTCAAGCAAAAACTGTTTAATTCAGAAGATAGACTGTTTAATTCAGAATTTTACTACCTTAACTCAAGCCATATAATGATTGTTATGTGCTGAAACATATTAATATAATAAACACAACCGAATGACGGCACTTATTAACATAACAGATTAGCATAAATCAACTGCTCATAAGGCTAGAACATTTCCATTTCAGAAAATGGAATCGCTAAAGGGAATAAATACGAGATGGGAGGAAATATATACTTCAATATCTTCTGCCGCAATAATATCGTTGGGTAATTATATTGTATATAAACTGCGGGCATCAGGGAACCATTATTAATATGCGGGGCAATGAAATCGCTTTTGAACGCGCGCTTGTTTTTTACTTTCACTTTCGAGATTCGCGATCCAGAGCGGCACTCGGCAGTACCACACATTTTACAAGATTAGATGTTTGTCAGTGGTGCTCAGGATCTGCAAATCATTCACCATCATCCTATCAGTCATCTCTCCTTACTTGTTTATGTGGTAAGTGAAATTTTATGTACTGTAATGTAACAGGCTACCGCTAGCAAGCGGCTAACCATGTCCCTTTTGTGGCTCCGTAGAACGCATTATTTGTTTTCCGCGCCTTTCTGAATATGGATTCAGCCACACCTCTAACCCAGTCGGGGGTGTTTGTGGTCCGCACAGAGCTCATATTTGACATTGTCCCAAGTTACTGTAACCGTTATAGACACGCAAGTCTTTTTCTTTATGCCACGCAAGTCTACAGTGTGCGCGTGAGACAATGTATTCTTCTGTCTGTTCTTTGACAGCTTTTAGGAGCGTTATCGGCAGCGCCACATGAACGCGTCACCACCGCATCATCACCGAAAACATGGGGAATTTTTTTTTAGACAATAATCGCACAACCTATTCAATATTCTATGATTATATCAACTAATTGAATATTCGAAAATCGTGGCCCATGCCTAAAAAATACCATAATATGCTTTCAGATATTTCAGAAACATGCTAAGTTCACATACTTGTCTCTACGAAAAACAATTCTACAGCCAGTTATTCTGCTTTGAATTGTGCGTTCAGTGTCAGAACGCCTGTTTTTGTTTTGGTCTCGACTCCACCCACTGCCAATTTACCCAATAGTATTTTGACAAACCTGGTGGCCAGATGGCTGAAAATACAGCATATTGCAGCCATGGAAGCGAGCAAATGAACTGTCAGAGATTGCAGCTTCTACACAACCTAAAAAGCCTCAGCATCCATCTAAAAAACTCTAAGACCAGAGGCATATTAAAACGTGGATAAATCACCTCATAAGCTTATGGGTGTATGGCTCGTTGCCTTCCATTGTTAATTGCACTCATTCATGTCCTCAATCTGACCAAGTCCTAAATATTAGGGATGCTCCAATCAGGATTTTTGCAGCCGATACTGAGTACCGATTTCTTGTCATGGTGATCAGCCGATACCGATGCCGATTCTGATGCTTCAAGCTTTATAGACGGTTTCAATGGGCCCACGCTCCTGGCCCGAAGTTAACTTCCGTTCTGTGTTTGTTTATCAGTCTGGCTATGGCACCGGCTACAAACGCAGTTAAAGTTAAGGTGATGAGTAGATTGAAGTTGGGCTCAGGTGGTTGTGCCGTGGGATGGGTTTCCCATACATTTATTTATTTGTGGCGCTCACCACAATATCAAAACTGACGGATTTTCCAAAAGGCTTGGTTGAATAAACATGAGCACGTACTGCACGTTTAAAAATCAAAACGAGGTGCGGGTGTTTTTATATCACTGTATTTCTGAATGAAGACTATCTTTAGAAAATTTTCGATGTCATTTTCATTTCATCTTGCATGTCATATGCCTGATAAAGCAGCTTTTTGTGAGCTCAGCGCTGCTTTGTGTACAGCTGTTACTGGGGAAACCTGTTTTTGTTCCGTCCTCCACACTGTAACAACTCACAAAAGACTATTTTTAACCAAGCAGCAATGGAGAGCCACTTCAGAAACGTGCAGCGGCTGGCTGATAAACACAAGCACTGACTAGAACAGCCGCGATCAGCTCCGGTGGCCGTGGAGCCGTAACGCGCCTCAGACGCGTGCAGTGAGGCGCAGATCAGCTCTAACGTCACTGAATCTGCTGTTAAAAATGAACCATCCTTTCATCATATCATCATGCAAAACATACACGACAAACAGCGAATTTTTCATTGTTTCTCGAAACGTCGTAGCATTTCCACACCGGCGATGACATGACTGCGGCGCCAAATCATTTATGTCCCCACGCATCATGTACGTCGTCACGCACTGACGTCATCAAATTGCGATCGGTTCCTGAGATCAGCCAAGTTGGTGAGTACCGATCGAGTCATAAAATATGATTATCTGCCGATACCGATCTCCAGGCGATCGATCGGAGTATCCCTACTAAATATTACTCTGGAATGTTTTGTATTCATTTACTTGCATAAACGTTCACTTTTCCCTCAAAAAACATTCTTTCCTTTTACAAATTTTGCTCTACACCCCTTTAGGCTATAGTTCATTAGTATAGCTTGTTATTTTGTCTGTTTATTGTCTCTTTATCCGTACATATACAAATTTCCAACAAATTCACTTCTAAAAGTGTATGTGAGATACAGGAAAGAGGCTAAATGTATTTTACCAAAGTAATTTGAGACTAATTCAACTAATAGATGTACAAATGATCCTGACACATTTCAGGCTTGGCACTGGAGAGAACATACAATGGGTTGTGTGTGATGAGTATCAAACCAGCTCTCTCTTAATCCTCCATCACCTGTCCAGGTGTGCCCATCCAAAATCTTCACTGAAACTTCAATGGAGGAATAACTTATAAAGGGCAGTCCTGACTCCTTATAATCCCCCTTTTAAAGACACACAAGCAAATGTCTCAAGCTAAATGCCAGGGCTCTTTTGCAAAGTCACATTATCAGCAGACAGTAGACCGATGGCACGCAAAGCTCCCTCTACAGTTAAACCTGGATCAGTAGGCTGAAGTGTATAATTTAAGAGCCAAGCAGCTGCCAACACAGCACGTCATGCAGCATTTACTGTCACGTCGCACAAATAAACACAGGTGCTGCTCACGTGGGCTATGGTCGCATTACCTCGTCAGTCTGCTGGAGGCACGTCTAGCCCATTTGGCACAGAGTTCACAGAAGTGCAATGGGGAGGGGTGTCCAACATGAATTTAGAGGGTAGTTAAACCCAGGATCAAAGTGTTAAGTGTTCATTTTCAAAGGTTTTAATTCTTTAAACTAGCTGAACCTACTGTTTGAGCAAACATTTTGTTGTTTGTTTGTGGCTTGCTATAGTGACCATTGAAAAATGGCACATAAATATATACACACTACAACTCAAAAGTCTCTTCTGCTCACCAAGGCACTATTTGTTTGATCAAAAATACAGTAAAAACACTAATAATGTGAAATGTTATAGCAATTAAAAATAACTGTTTTCTATTAAGATATTGTAAAATGTAATTTATTTTTGTGATGCAAAGCTGAATTTTCAGCATTCAGTATATATTATAATATGCTGCTTTGCTGCTCAAACATGTATTATTATTATCAATGTTGAAAACAGTTGTGCTTCTTCATATTTTTGTAGAAACCGTGATACGTTTCGAACAATTTTTATAAAAGCCTATTTAAGTTAGCAAATTTTTGTCTTTACAATGTCACAATTTTTTCCGCACAATATGGATCTTTAGAAATTAGAATATACAGCTACCTTTTCATTGTATGGAGGGCATCCTTCACAAATAGATTGTCATATTTTGTTGTCAGACTCTTAGTTAACTCCAGTCATCAGTTCCAGAAGATCTAGAAAATTTTATAGTGCAAAAAATACAGAAAAACTCCTCTGATTTCCTCTAGGCCTGGATGAGAGGAATCACTCTGCATAGGACGAATGAATCCCACCAGGCCAATGTATAATTGAAAATATATAGAATATGACTCAAGGTGTTATTTTCTGAATACAGGCTTATACTGTCTATGAGCACATGGTGAATTACAGGACAAACTACAGACAGTAGCTTGTTGTTGAGATCCAGACGGGGAGGTAAACAAATGCACAGTGATTTGTGATGCAGCTGGATGAAAATTTTAAGTGTTCGGGGCAAGACAGCAGACTCAACAACATAAACCCACAAATGACACCTATTTTTAAGTTGCGTGTTAAACAGGAAACAGAAGGTAGGCCGATTTGAGAGCACAAACGTTGCTTTCGCTTGTCCAAATGTCATCATTAAGGTTAATGAGCCTGCCGCCTCCGTCGCTGTTTTTAGTGCAGGGCGGAAAATATAAACCCTGGCAGGATTTATAGTATCTAGCTGCCCACGTCAGAGCAATCTAGTAAACTTGATTCTTTTTATAGAAAACCACAGACACTGTGATCTCAATCCTTCTGTTCCTACGAATAATTACAGAACAACATGTTATATGATAACCTTTAATATAACACAGTCAGCTAACTTGTCATTAGCTTACAAATAAGCAATCGTTTAGTGGATTTTCACTGTGCCTTGTTTGTTAACAAATAGTTGCACATATTGCTCATTGCTGCAGAAAAATCTAGTCAAGGTTATTTAGTATATTCAAGTTTTCATAAATTGGCTTCTGAGTAAACTTGAATATATTGAGCAACCTTAACTACATTTTTCTGAGGCACTGGGCCTCATTTACGAAACGAACGAGAAAAAATTGGGCGTACGGTCGTTTCAACACAAAACTTGGAATTTATCAATATGGACATGAGCGGTGGCTACGATCAAATCTCACGTCTGGTCTCAGCTTGAGTACGCAAGTTTTTGAGTAAATACGGTGGAGAATTGTAGAATGACAGCATTTTGTTCATTTTTACTTTCCTGACCGTCATTAGTCGATCATTAACCAGTGAGATTAGAATGTCTTTTTTTTGGTTTTATACAGGGCTTTAGCTTTATATAAACGAATAGCAGCGTAAACAAGACCATGAGGATTCAATCGTCGCATCATGCACCTGCTGCGCTTCTGTGAAAGGAGAAAAACATAAATTAAGTCTATAAAAGGAATAAAATAAATAGGATCACACAAAATATATAATAGGCTATAATATAATTAACAGATTAACAAAAGGAAAAAAAACACTGTGCAACAAGTATATAGGCCACGCTCATTTTGTGACACTCCTAATGCAGTTTATTTCTTTTCTTTATATATTTGATTAAATCCATCTGATCGCACAGGCTCCTCACGCACACACAAACAACATTAGTTCTAGCGTTGCCTGACATTTCAGCCATTCATCATCAAACTAAAATGCAGTCAACCAAACATAAAAGTTACACTGTTTATTTTAAAAGGTC